AAAACAATTTCAGGCTGCGAATAAAATAGAAGATATAATAACAAACATGTTTTCTGTGCTTTCTGAACATCACGAAGTTGAGTTAAAAGCCTTAATAGATAAAGCAGATAAAGTTTGGCAGAATGTGAAGAGTGTGGAAGAAACCAATGCTCTTACTTACCAATGGGCGAATAGTAGTAGTAACAATGTTCTTTTGAATTCTCTTGGCATCGATTCTCGGAATATTGTAAGTATACACAACAACTTAGTAATTAAAATATTTTTACATTTATGAGAAAAAATAACGATATTTGTTATGTGAAATTAAAGCTATTTGGACCAAGATGGAATCCGAATATACCAAGATTTGCTGCAAATCTTGGTTTTACTCCGTTAGAGCCAATTAAAGCTACTGCTGAGTCTCAGCAACCTTCTTTAGCCAATACCAGCAAGATACTGGGTGCAGCTTGTTCAGATGTAAGTTGAGGTTTAATTTCTATAGTATGTGTGAGTAATTTACGTATTAATTAATAATTGTAACGTCGTATTAGGAAGTACCTGCCGCCCAATTTGATTGGAATAGTTCTGGCCTTGTAAATCCTCTAGATGCTAGTAAGTATTTATTGTAATTGCATGTTTAGTGATTAAAATATTGTACTTAGGAGAGAAATATAACTAAATGTCTTATATTTTGGTAATTTATATTCTCATATATAATGAGATAGAGAAAGAGAATATTTTCTAAATAAATATTCTATATGCAAAATAGTTTGGTGTTGTCTCTTACATATAGATTATATAGATCAAGGCTGCGTTTGCTTTGGCGCTTACAGTAAGCATAATTATCCTTGTTTAATATTTCACAAGCAGCAAGGATAAAACAATATTTTAAGCGGTGTGAGTGCCAAAGTGAAAGCGGTCCAAGTGTATTGAATTTTGTTCTAAATGTCGCGAAAAATAACAATACAGGTGGTGGGTTATCCGCTCTTCTGCCTCTGGATTTATTGTGTCCGTTTGACCCTCTACTAACACCCCATTGCTCCACACATTCCGAATCCTATCATCAGTCATCTTGCTCAACGAACTCCGTTTATTACTGTAAGTGCTCAAGCTGTAATGTCTTTGTTTTTGCATACATGTATATGTATAAATGTATATTCATAAATTTTGTTTCAAATAGGATATCTTTTCTAAATGTATATATTAAAAATTAAATAGACTGCCACTTAATTTTGCTTTGCTTGATTTTAAACATTCATAATATTTCCAAAATTATTGTATTCATAATTCAACTAATTTTAATTGTTAATTTTTATTACTGATACAGATTCATCAGAAGTAGTTGTACAAGAATCAAGCCAATCCATGAAATCGCAAAATTTATCCGATCTCGCTAGCAGTTCACTAAAACAGCAAAAATCCCAGACGTCCAAGATCATAGAACCATTACCAGGACCTTGTACAGTGGAATGGAAGAAAAAGACCGAACAAGACATCGGAATTAAGCAGAAAAGCAACTCTTCGCATCGAGCACTGAGAAATGTCCCTCTAACCAACAATAAGTCATTTCCAATAAGCAATAATACCTCCAGGGTACATGAATATCACAGAAAGATATCAGTAGGTAAGAAAGAGAATACGCAAGGTACGGAGCACGTAGTCTTGGACCGATACGGGAGACCGATGACCGTGCAAGCCGAAACTATAAAAGTTCTGAATCAGTTACCGGACCTGTCGTTTTTGAATGCGAGAACTTTATTGTTCAATCGCGAGCAGAGACAGATCGTGCCGGATCTGGGCGCTATGATAAATCGGAAGATGCCCGGCTGAGTAACATCGGTCTGAATGCGAGTTTGAAAGGGCAAACGCGAGAGGAAACTTCCCAGAGAACCTATTGCCAGCTGGATGTTTCTAAGTGACCTATACAATCAAAACGTACTTCTGCTACCTTTCAAACCTGTGTTCAGACCAACCTTTAATCCAACCTTGGCTCTTCCACGTCAGGAAAGGATAACGAGACGCCACGTATGAAAGACACTGTCCTATATTAATCTATTTGCTTGCGGCACCGAGTAATGCACTTCGACATTCCGAATCATCATTGTTTTGTGATTTTATAGCACTATTGGCATTGTTACTGAATCCTTCAAAGTCTTTACTTTGTTACAAAATTACGGTTTAATGTTGTACTGATCATTTAAGAAATGATGACATGTAAGTTTGTTTCGTTAACTCAATAGTTGTGTAATCTTTATTAAAGACGACAGTTTTACGTTGTTACTTACATAGATATAAGAACTCACACACACATTCGGCCATATTCTAGTCTACAGTTCTTAATGATAAGTTTTCTGTATTATATATTAGGAGAGATTTGTTCGATATGTTTATTTTCGACGATAATTGCAGGCAATTAAACAGCGCCAGAGTATTATACTCGTTCGTATTGTATTTCAAAATTTTATCTACTAATATTCTGGAACTACTTTTAGATGAACCAACCTGAATATTTATCTTGGATTCATTTCTATCAACGTAGACTAACTTTAATTTCAGCTCAATTGATTCTTCATCTTTTTCTACTTAGGACTAGAAAAAGACGAAAAGTAAGTTAAACTGAGATCAATTAATCTTCATTGATGAGAATGGACATTATACGTTCAAGAAACTGCGCGCGTACTTTGTACGACATTGATATGTTACAATTTCAAGCAATCATAAATATTCCCAGTCATATAGAAAGAGAACACGTACTAAAATTACCCAAAATAAAAACTATATACTAATTGTAAGTCAATTATCGTAGATTGACGAGATTGATATCTGTAATGAAATCGTCGAGTGATACATTTATCAAATTCGCTTGATGCTTTTATTGCACATTTTGAATTTCTACTATGAAACGTGATGTACTTAATTATGTAAATTTCAGCATTTGCATATTGATTATTAGAACGAAACGATAAATATTATTACCACTATTCGTTATTTATTAATGATAATATTGTAATATATATTTTATGTAAAATATTGTGGATAACATTAACACATAGGCAATCTTTAATGATCGAATCGTTGTTACTTTTCTTAATCACTCTGAAAGCGTGCGATTTTTTAAATCCTCGATTTTTTCCCGATCCTTGAATGCAATCTTTTATAATAGTCAGAATAATTTAGATGCAAAGCAATTCATTATCTCACAATTACTTTAATTATATTAAATATAGAAGAATTCTATAAAATATGAATTAAATAACAGTCTGCATAATTTTTCCAATAAAAATACTTTTATTAAGCGTATTTATTTTATATTTCATGTTTTACAAAATACTGTCATCAAAATATATTACAATGTATCCAATTAAAATATCTAATAACAATGGTTGCTCTTGCATATTAAAAATAAAATTGTATTGGGTATGGGAATAAGTTTCCGCCCTTTTTGAAAAGAAAAAGATATGTTTATTTAAACAAATCTATATAAGTGAGTTTATTCAAAGTATGCTCCTTCGGAAGCGACAACTTTCTCCCACTTTTCTGGTAATAAACGGATTCCTCGAATGAAAAAATCTGGTTCTTTTGAAGCGATCCATTCATCAAGCTATTTTTTGATATCTTCATAAGAATTGAATCGTTCTCCAGAAAGGGCCGACTGCATGGATCGGAACAAATGGAAATCTGAAGGAGCAATGTCCGGTGAATACGGCGGGTGGGGTAGAATTTCCCACTTTACTCCTTCCAAGTATTTCTTGACCGGTTTTGCAACGTGACCTAGCGTTGCCATGTAACAAAATAAACTTGTGCCAATTGTCCCATTTCGGTCGTTTTTCTTTCAAAGCTTGGTTTAAACGTATCAGTTGTAGTCTATAACGATCGCCAGTGATGGTTTCGGACGGTTTGAGCAGCTCATAATATATAACACCTCTCTGATCCCACCAGATGCACAACATAATCTTCGAAGCATGGATTTTTCGTTTTGGTGTTGATGGACCTGGTTCACCTGGCATCACCCATGCTTTCAAGCGTTTAGGGTTATCGTAGTAGATCCATTTTTCATCGCCAGTTACGATACGATGTAGAAAACCCTTCCTTTGTTGTCGTTGACGAAGCATCTCGCAGATGACCAAACGTCTTTCCATGTCTCTCTCTTTCAATTTGTATAGCAGCCAATTTCTTTCTTTTTGCACCGTTCCCATTGCGTGTAGACGTTTTCCAACAGGATCTATCAACATTTAACTCTTTTGACAACCTATCGAGCGATAAACATGAATCTTCTTCGAGTAATGCTTGCAATTCTGCATCTTCAAATTTTTTCGGTGCACCTTCGCGTTCTTTGTCACGCACGTCAAAATCACCACTGTTGAATCGCCGAAACCATTCTTTACAACTGGTTTTCGATGGAGCATGCTCACCGTAAACATCTACGAGCAAACGATGCGATTCTGCAGCACTTTTCTTTAAAATAAAATAATGGAGTAAAACTTCCCACAAATGGGGAGGATCCCGTTTGCCTACAGTTCTGATTGTACACACCACTCATATCAACTGGTGTCTAGTAATTTTTCACTGTTTTGCCAATGAGATTATTTTATTTTTAAATTGGCCAATCAGCGGTATATGTGTGCAATATGAGATGTGTGCAATCGGAGCCCTCCCCCACAAATGTTGCTTTTTTGGAATAAATTCCGACATCTTCAACGCAAAAAAAGTTACTCTTTTTTACGCTTCGAACGAATGCCAACTATTGGGCTCAAAAGTTTGAACACAAACCTTTCAAACACATGTGTTACCGTTCATCTATCAAACACACAAGCAATGCTACTAACGATATCTTTCTACAATGGGCAGAAACTTATTCCCATACCCAATATTTTACTTTAATATATTATCAATTATCAATTTTTCGCACACACATAATAGATTTTTTCTAATTTAAAATAATTTTTATTGAAACGTTGGAGTTTGGACTAGAACATTTCATTTAGGCACATAACATAAATCAGATATGTGCACTATAATGATTTCATATAGAAATTTTTTTTTAAACAATTGAATAAATAATTTTGTTAAATACGTTAAAACATTGCATAATATTATCTCTTAATTATAAGGAAAAGAATGCAATATATTACTTTTGTTATTAGGAAAACATATCCTCCTCAGAACTGTTATATTCTTCTTCTGAGTAGTTAAGAACTCGCTTGGATTTCACTGTATCATACGTGTTTTGTAACGTTAATTTGACTTTACTTGTTGAAGGCTCAGGGCTTGTATCTTCACTAGAAGAGAAATTCATGCGTCTGTTAAAATTTTTCTTACTACTTTTTGGTATAACTTTCTGATCATTTTTATAATTCATCTTTTGTTTCTTTAGCTTGGATGGTTTAGTATCAAGCATTTTCTCACTCTTTACATCTGATCCATCACTTTCATCATCAGTGGTTTCATTAAATACTGACTTCGTTGTTGTCTTTTTTGTATTATTTAAAGCCTCCTGAAGCTCTCTAATCTTTTTCTTCTTTGTATTCAGAAGTAAAAGAAATTTCATGTAAAGATCTTTCTCCATAGTATCTTTTTTGTTTATTATTTCTTCTAAATCCACGATCAGTTCTGTATTGCTTTTCTTTAGGTATTCATTCTCTTTTTCCAGTGCCAGTGCTCGCTCTTGATATTGTTGATAGAGTTCTAATGATTGTTTTAAAGTATCAGACAGAATTAATATATTCGAAAGAGAATGCATTGCAATTTCTCCACGAGTGAGAATATTTTGTTGTTTCCATGTGAATGTTGTTCCATATGATTCATCCTGCAGAAAGAACTGTATATCAGCGTTTTTCCCAGAGAATGCTTGTTTTGTTTTCTCTAGATATGTTTCAAAGGATTCGTCTAAGTGATTTAAGAAGTAATTGGCATTCTCTACATGCATCTAAAACAATAAGATAACTTTCAATAAATGATAGTCATCGACTGCTGGCAGTGACATATTTTCTTGATAAACCTGATAAAATTATTCAGATTTTTCAAATTTTGTCTTACACTTTGGCTATATTTTCTAACAAGGACACAGTATAACACAATGAACATCCTTGTTGTATATGCCAACTTTAAACAAGGATAAAATAATTCAACATGGAACATTGTCTCTTTGCTGGAAAAGGCCCTGGTTATGATCCATAGAATGTTACAAATGCTTTAAAATTTGGTTGCTATAAATGCTTTGTATTCTTTAATTGGTCAATTAATAAAATTTTTTTGATTAATCAATTTCAAATGCTTCAAAGCATTTATAGTGAAACTTCGACTGCACCCATAAATATACAATAAAATAAGTAAACAGTTAATTAAATTACCTCGCCACTTAATGGTAGTGTACACGTTCTCAACACTATTATTTTGAAAGATGTATTCTCCCATTCTGTGTATAGCGTAAAATTGCTATTGTCCACTTGATTCACAAGCTGACTTACGCTCGCGTTAATCATGAAGTTTCTTTTCGGTAATCCAGAAAAAGTGCGAGGCAATTAACGAGAAGTCATCAAAAACATCTGATGTGCAGTCATTTGATGATGAAGATTTTGTCAACTTGATTGATTAAAAACTCTTGTCAGAAGAAAATACATTTTGACATTGTATAAAAAAAGAATTTCGTCGATCGGATTCAACAATTAAGTTTATACTTTAATAATTCATAAATACGATTCAAAATTGATAATATGCGCATTATAGGTTAGTGACATGATCCGTGTACACGATAAAAATAATAGTAATGCGCATGCGCTAACATCTTCGCGGGCATTTTTAATTAAAAAACCTTTAATTAAAAAAAATATGTATTTAAAAAATGAAAAACTGTTGAGGTTATTATACCAAATTATAGGTTTGATCTTTTCTTTTGATGATATTTTTACTATGTACAGCACAAAAAGATGTAAAAACAGATGTAGAAAATTAAAATTAAAATTATTTTATTGACAAAATAAAGATAATAAAAAATAATAAAATAAGACAATAGAACATTTTTCATGAATTTCTTCATGAATTTTGTTTTTTGCAAAACATAACGTTATTTCACATAAAACATAAAAATATTAGAAATAAAAAGAATTACAAATGGTGTTGATTATTTATCATATGCGTGAAATTGAAGTTTTATTGTCATAAAAAATGGCGAACAAAAAGGTCAAGCTCTGATTGGCTGCAGCAATTAAATATGTGCAAGAATTTGTGTAGGTTAACTTGCATGTTTCCTATAATTCACAACTCCCGCCGAATAAAATAAAAAAATCTCGTAATATATATACAATACACAATATAAGTGTAATTAGTTTAATGTAGTAGTGTAATAGAGAGAGAGTATCAAGTAGCGTTTGATACATTCTTGCGATGGATCTTCAAAACGTAAGAAATTTCTAACTTTGTCATTTTCTATGCTAAAGTTTAAAGACTAATTTTAAATAAAACTAAATATATTTTACAGGGCAAACTATAATGGAGAAATCTGTACCCAGAATCATTTGTTTTAAAGTATCAGCTATAATATTACATAAATAAAAAAATACGCATTTAAGATTTATAACCCATATAGCACAAATCTCCAAGGAACGTTCTGAAGGACGTCTTGAGAACATCTTAACGTCCTGAGAACGTACTTAGGAAAATCTTTGAGATAAAGTGTGCTGTATGGGAACTGACGTGTTTAACTACAAATATATGTAATCGACGATTAACATAATTGACTGCGTTCCGTTTCACGCATGATGCGCATTGCATTATTCATTCTTGTTATTCATCGAATGTTAAGGACGTTCTCCGAAAAATTCATTTTAGATTTTGCTGAAACTTACAGAAAAAGCTTGTTTTAGTGTCCTGAACATGTGCTTTGAAACTCAATATCTGGAGCGGGATTAAAAATCGAGATATTCCACTTCAATTAAAGTTATAATTGAAGCGTTTAACATAGGATCCCTATTTAAAAGCTTATTCGAAAGTGGTCTTTTTATTCACTGTAAAAAAGGTTTTTTAAACCATTTTTTGAAACAATGAGACATAAAACTTTGATATTACAAGGAATAATATGATATTTGTCTAAATATATATGGCTATGAGCAAAGTAAATATAGCTCCGCTATTGATGGTAATTTGAAATAAAAAAGAATTTAATTTCACATGATATTATATTATATTATATATATATTTGTATTTATTAGAACACTAAGTATATTGTATAAAAAAAACTTGTATAAAAACATTAACACTTATTATGGAATATCTTATACTATATAACAGGGTTGGGTAGTGCCAAGTTAAAAAGCTAAAAGTTAAGTTAAAAAGTTGAAAAGTTAAATAATTTTAACTTAACTTAGTTACATTTTAG